ATATAGATTTAGCCAAGCCTAAAAGTGGAGCTCGCATTTTTTTTTCCCGCACATCTCAAGGGCACAATGCTTTGCCCTGGCCAGGACTAGAACCTGGGTAATCCAACTCGAAGCCCAGTGCACTGACCACTGGACTACTGAACAAAGCCATGGCGTTGGCGTGCCTGTGGTACAGTTGACCACGCATGTTAAAAGTAGCACCTTGTGCAGTCATACGGTTGTACGTACATCCAAATTTTTTTGGCTTGATGGCTTACTACTACTTTGTATAATTATGGGGCTATGCTCTGCGAACTCCACTATAATGAGTCTAACATTAGATGCTGATATTTCGAGCATCATCCCTTTGTCATTTGCTCTGATGAAGGGCCAATATTCAAAATGTCAGCTTTAAAATCTTTAGGGTGGCCAATTTACATTATCAACAAAGTTAATATTACTAAATGATCCTAATATACTCTCCTACCAATGCAGCACAACAGTTTCTTTAGAAACTTACCCCCCTTTATAACATGTGTCTGCCTAATTTGAATGTAGGAGGAAGCTGATTTTTTTCTTTATTGTGGAATGGTCATCGTACATTTGCTTTAAGAACTGGTGGTTGAATTGCACAGAATGTCTGTACATGTAACAAGAGTAGTCCATGTTACTAAAAACTTCATAATGATTATTTATTACTGAACTTTACAACATAATGTAGTTAATTTACTTCTGTAGGAATATGTGGATTTGGTGCTAATTGCTGGTATTCTCATACAAGCCCACAGATGTTGTTAGCAACTCAAGAAGCAAGTAAGGATAAAGTTATTCATACATTTTATACCTAGATAAGGTAGACAGGTTTTAAACAAGCAGGCACAAAAATGTATATTATCATTTGATGTAATTTTCATTCTGTTAAATTTGGGTTCAAATAATAGTCTGTTTGTGTTTAACCCTTTTATGTGAATAAAATCTAATTTCTCCTTGCAATATCTCTTCTGAATCATACATGAAGGTCTCAAGAATGAAGGAAATGATCACCAACTAAAGAAGCTCTTGATTGTTAACCAAATTCTCTTAGTTAGCACCTTAAGAAATGTATGATGAACAGTATGGAGAATATTCATACTGATATTATGGTGTAAAGGGTTAAAACTTATTAATCATGCTTTGTTACAAATGTAACAAATGTAACAATGTATCTGGAGGTTTCACCCCATTGCAAGTTTGCCCCTTTCCATCTTTGCATCTTCATTCCCTGATCCAGAAGTATTTGAAGTTGCTCCCACCTTTTTCAGTCGGCCCTCAAATGTTTTACTGTGTTCCCAATAGCAGAACAGTTCCTTTTCTGTTGGTATCTCGATGGGAGACTGTTTAAATTCAAATATGGATGAAGTTGTGCTTTTTGTGGTTTGTTGCCAAGAATTTTGTTCTCATGGTGGTGACATTTAGGGATCATTTGGGATCGTTTGGTAGGTTGACATTGCATGTGCTCAACAGGCAAGTCTCTCTGAGGGATGGGCTTCCTTTTTAGGACCTTTGATGATAGACTTTTGACTTTTCCACTTTTGCCTTACATATAGTTACCTAAGAATTTGTGTATTTGAGTAGCTTTTTTTTAAAGTTGCATTTAGTAGGCAGAATATTTGTTTATTAGGCTTAGGTGGAAAAACACCAGACAAGTCACAGGCAGGTCAACCTCAGGCAACACTTAAAGAGTGGCTGGAGAAGTACAACAAAAAGAAAAAAAAGGTTGAATGTAAAGATGCATCAGGGAAATCTGCTTCACAGTCAAGTTACACCTTACCACCAGGTCTTCCTCCTCTACAGCAACTGCCTCCTTCATTGTTACCACCACCTCCTGGAGGGTACGCTGAACTCCCAAGAGAAGAGTGGGGTTAATTGTTGCTTGACATATGGGATTTTTCATGCTTGGGTACCTCAATCAAACCCCTGCTGTCATCTTTTGATCACCTCCATCATCATTTAAGAGGTCTATGATATTCAAAGGTTGAGTACATTTACACAGAGGGCTACTTGCATCCATAACCATTGTCATTATCCATCAGTGACGCACTCAGCTGCGCCTTGTGTGCCACTTTTTTGTTCTTTCCACATTTTGATGTCATCTGTGATCTATTACTGAACAGACAAACGGCAACTTTGAATCTATTTGTTAAATAGATTAAGATCCTCTTTATATTTGCTGATCAGTTGTGTGAGTTCAGATGATGTTTAGGTACGTATAAGACAATGTTCATTGGGAAAAAGGAAGGAAGAACCTTGAAGAAAACATAAGAGTTCATTTTGTATTGATATGATGATCATGAATCAAGGAAGATAGCCTGCAATAAGGCTGTGGCTGATGTAAATAAGAACTTCTTACAATGTTTTAAGTAAGACCAGTTGGAGCAATCATTAAATTTATGTCTAAATGAATCAAATGAAGAGAATTGAATAAAAGAAAAATCCATTTTAAAGTTTCTCTTTTTGCATCTTCTTAACTTGCCATCTTTCCCCCCAACCAACAACAACTTAATGCTGGTAAAATTACCTGAGAAGAGATTGAAATAGAAGCCTACATTTTTTAAATCAATAAATTGCAAGTGTACCAAGTGCTTCATAGAGGCATTCATTCTGTGTGAGGCTTTCTTTGCAGCAACTTAAACGTTTTAACAAATTTCATGTCAAAACATGTCAAAGAGCGGACAGATTTTTGGTGTGAGCTTCAGTAGACTTAAATATTATTATTGATCAAGGTTGTAAGTCAGTTTTGAGAACAAGGCTGAATGAATCAATGGCGTACTAGCAATAGCCCCCAATTTATCTTTTTTTAGCCTTCCTTTCGACTCTTTGATTAACTTAATTACTCATTTTTTTTTTTGTTATATATTGATCGCGGTTTCGTTCCACAGTTCCATATCCAATATTCCGTATTCAGATTTTCATCAACCAGTTCCCAGCTTCTTTCGGGCTGACGATAAATGATCAAAAGCGCGGTTACTTTGAAAGAGCAAAACAATAGAGGTTTTTTGCGTCCTTCATTCTGTGGGATCGTATTGTTTTCAAAAGAAGAGAACGACTGCCATCGAATCATTGAAAGCAGTATTTCCAGGTGAGAAACTATGGGGTAAAATGCTATTGTGATTGGCCTTTTTTTTTTAACTCAACGATCAACTTTTTGATTGTCTTGTTTTGCAAATTTTATCGATAGTTGTTGACACGTTTTCTAGGTGTTCAGTTCTGGTGTGAGAGTACACCGTTGAATTCTAAATATTGCAGCCAGGAAAAGTACTTTCACCTTAAAATCTCTCAAAAGTAACGACCATTCTAAATATAGGGTTTGTATCAGTTGTATTGGATCCATACCTGTCACCAGAAGATAGAGCCATTTGTTGCATGGAGCTCTTTTCCAGAAAATGCTATCCATGACCTTTAATGACGCAAAAAAGGTTTTTTTGTGTGAACACGAATTTTAGCTTCGCTCCCTCAACCTCAGCATAACTTGGACTAGAATTGGCCAGTCTACCAGAAAGTATGCAAACAAAACATTGCTTCATAATGATATCCTGTGCGATTTTTGAACCTGCACAGACAGCATTCCGCATTGAGCAATCTTCAAAATAATGCACACTGGTCCAACATCTTTGTGGCTTGTGTCTATGGACAGGTGTTTATAAGCCTGGTTAGGCAAAAACTGTTTGATTCTTTGTCCTAAGTATGAAACTGGGTCCCTATAAGTAGAACATTCAGACCCATGGCCTCTACAGGTTTCAGAAAAAATCCCACAAAGTCCCGAGTTTACCATTGAATTTCCAGGAATGGATAATTCCTTTCAATCGAGCTTGTTGTTATTTTTCATGCATATTCTTTCAAATTTTCATCACTTGTCAGTTTGACTTTGCAGATCATGATAAAAATGGTTATTCCTGAAAATCTTAAGGTTCATGTGAATCTTCCTAATCTTGTAAAAAAATAAATCCAAGTCCAGGAAATAGCCTAGAGAAAATCCTGGAAAATTGTTTTTTAGAAAGGGGTACAGACCCTGTAGACTTCATGCAAAGGGCAAAAAGGAAATATGACTTTAACATGTATCCTAGGCACACGGTGTCTAAAGTTTGAATGAATTTTACTTGTGGTTTTGAAACATTCCCGAGCAAAAATTTGGCAAGCCCCTCTTAAACCAAAATCTGCTTTTGATTCCCTCTCATGAAAGTCATATTCACTTATCAAGGTAACCATAGCTTTTAGTAGCAAAAAATATCATATGTTCAAGAATACCCTGTTTTGATGAGAAACCACTGTCAAATTCCCACTCTGTCACAAATACTTAGAGGGTGTTTCTTTTCAAGGAGGACTGGAATAAGAGAATAAATGAATGTTTCCATTTGCTAGTTAACCCTTTCACTCACCAGATGTCATTAGTAATTCTCCTGACCATGTGCCATGACATTGTTATCACAATGGTGATAGTGGGGAATTTGGTATTTGCTTAACTGATAATCCCCTCAATGGTATTTTTCTTTATTCTCATCACTTGCTGCTTAATATCCTATTGACATAACATTTATTTAGTAATTATTCATGTTTTTGGTAAATTCGTAACTGAGCATAGTAGAGATGGGTTAACTCTGTCATGGGTTAACTCTGTCTTTTCATTAATTCCAATGCATATATAGTGTATACTATGATACCTATGATGTCAAATGGAAAAAGGAAGTTATTTTATATGCAATAAAATTAAATGAGAGTTAAGTAACATCAAGAAGTGGAATAGGTTTTTAACTCTTTCACTTCAAAGATCTTATTAGTAATTCTCCTTACCATCTGCCATACAATTCTTCTGATGTTAGTTTGGAGAATTTGGTATTGGATCAACTTATTACTCCTAATTGATATTTTTCTGTATTCTTGTTCATTTTCTGCTTGATATTGTATTAATATTGTAAGGAGAGATTTTGTCTTGGTCACTCATGGGAATTAACCCCCATGAGTCAATTTGGGGATAATCAGTTGATCCAATACTTAATTCTCTGAACTAACATTATATAAATTGTATGGTTGACAGTAAGGAGAATTACAAATTTGATATGGGTTTGAAGTATTAAAGGGTCAAGTGATTCCCTTGTTTGAGGTGAAATGTCTTTTGTTTCAATAAATCAGGTGCTAAACTTGAAGCACTGATGGAGCTGGCCAGACAAATTTTTCTTGAGCACCCACTGGCTCCTATTGATATGTACCATTGTTACTTTTGTTTGAGGTAGTCACTTTAATTTAATTTTTGTACTACATCTTGCTCCATCGAAAAGCAATAAATATCACGATGTAAAATCTTAGTAGCGCCAGGGCGGTGGCACAGGTGCATCGGTCCACTGCGCAGCCAATCTCTCGTTGTAGGCGTTGACTTTATCATTCATCTTCGCGATGCAAGTCGACGATATCGGCTGACCGATTTGGGCTTTATCGCATTTGAATTGTCTCAAAAACTGTATAACTTTGTCTTGTTGCTTTGGAATGGCGGTCTTTCCTTGCCTTTTGTAGTCGAGCCACATTCTCATCGCATACTCAGGATCGCTCATGCCCTCTCCAAAGTGCACCAAACCAAGCCTGTTTTCGGGTTTTATTTTATTACGGATTAAGTTCATTGCGTTAAACATTCTCCACATGTACTTACTCATCTTAAGGAAGCATACCTCCAGAGGTTCCATCTGGCAATGGCCAAACTCCTTGTTTGACTCTCCCCAGTTTTCGATCATGGATACCCACAGGTCCATAAGCGAAAGTGACGTCGATATGTCAATCACTTTCATTTGTGTGCCACCCACTACATGTCGTATGGCGCCTCGCGTGTGATAAGCTTCAGCTGCGTAAATCAGGGCCTTTGCAAGAACATCTGTTTGAAGAAAATTACCGAAACGTTAAACCAGGAATTGCTATCTCTGAATAAAAATCGAGTGTGGTTTTTTTTTTGGTAGGGGGTGGAAAACTTTGATATGATCAGTACGGAAGTAGAGATGACTCTCCGAAGAAATGTGGTCGTAACACGACTAGCAATCGTTTTTACGCGACATTTCAAGCTGGACACTTGCGAAACCGTGGAGGTAATGAAGGAGCGATCATATTATTTTATATAAATGTCTGTTTCACCTTAACTACGGATCGGAAAATCAAAGATTGAAAACGTTTCAGTTTGCTACTTAGTCAACCGCCAAACACAGGTCGTCAATTTGACGACTTTCGCTGAAATTGAAAAATTAGCCAAAATTCTACCCGCTCGCCATGGCGACCAAAACGGTTACAGCCAGTTTGGAGTGCTGCTGGTCCAGTTATGATTACCTAACAATGCCGGTTTGTATCCTCCTTTTGAAGTCATTTCTTTCACCAGGGCTTGATACTGATTGTTATGGGCCAGTCTCAGGCCACTCTCTGTCACTCCTCCCCCAGGTCTCATCGGAATTTTAGCATCCAAGCTCTTAAAGGTTTCCAGCCACTTTTCTAAGAAGACTTTTGATTTGGGTGCTCCCTTCATTGATAACTTCGCTCCATTTACCATCGTTTCGAAGAACTTTGTGTTGTACTTGTAGACCTTGTAATAAGCGCTGGCTAATTCTTGCATTTTGCTGTTTAATGTTTTTTCGTTGTTCTCTACACCTTTGGCAAATGTAGGCGGTAGTTTAACAAACAGAAGTGGCATGGCGTACTCCAGGGTGAAAGCGTAGACATTTGTGTCAAAAACGATCTCCGAGGGTTTCCCGAATTCATTTCTGTCTTGGAAAAAGTTGTTGAATTTCTCTGTAAGCGTACCAGCGTCTTTTCCAACAAGCCCGACGTCGTAGTCCGAAGTGCAAGAAGCTGATCCGTAAGGCTCAGGAAAGCACACAGAGTCAGGGATTTCAATTTTCTTTGCCGCTGTTCTCACGCAAGGTTTTAGCTTATTACCACTTAGAACGTAAAGAACGTGTGTCACAAAGAGATACCTAGCGGCAGTGATGTACAGGAGTTGAAGACAGCTAGTAGGAGTGCGGAATTTTTTTTTCATAGCTGCCCAATCGTTGTTTCGTTTAAAGAACTTCTTTATCCTATCCGCATCTTTGGCAAAGTCTGGTGTGCCGATTTGTCCTGCGAAGTTGGGTTGAAATATCCACATATCTTTCTTGGGATCTTTCTTAAATTTATACTTGGCCACAATGTCAGTCTCCATCCACTTCAGGTCATCTTGATCGGGGTCGTTCTGAAGCAAGTTTGAAGCTAGAAATCTGTTTTTGTGAAATAAGACCCAAGATTCATATTCAAACTCTCTTGTGTTGTGGGGAAGTTTCGGAGCTCATTAGTTCATTGGATTTTCAGCGAAGTATTTTTATCGTGATATGTGATGGTGATAGGACTGAGTGGAGTATAATTCAGGGAGTCATCAGGCGAAGGATTTCAAATTGGCCGAGTACGTAGTGCAAGGGTAATTTGAAATTACGATCAGCGTTACCCCTTAGTTGTACGACTCGCAGTCCGATTTCCAATGAATTGTGTCAATAAAAAAACATGAAAAACTCAGGAATGAAAAATTTAATGTGAGAGCACGTACCATTCTTACTGATACTGAGTAAAAGTAACTGGACCTGTTAGTTTTGTCCACGTTACTATGTTTCTAATGTGGACCTATCAACCTGACGTCATTAGTTTCACTTTGATTCGGTAGGTAGCTGAGTTTTATTGGACGATGGCGTAAAGTACATAATTTTAAGTGACTGCTCAACTGTCTGATTTGGCCTTTCCGACTGTTAGTGTAAGTAATCGAACAGTTTGGACTTGAAAGAGCTAGAAAGTCCCAAGTTAGGGCTTCTAAGGGCTGCTCATATTCGAGCATTTTGTTAATGACACAGTTAGGTCCTCTCTTGATCCAAACACGATAACTTATATCGGCATTTGCACAAAATCGTTCTAAATTCATGATAGTTGAAATATCAGTGATTGTAAGCTTACGGTTCATCAGAAAGTTTTCCCTCTACAGGCTCACTGTAGTCGGCCAAGGTCCACTCGGGCTGATTCTGGAGGAGGTCCTCGACTTGTGAGATAGGGTACAGTTCATCACACACCTGTCAGACAAGCCACACAGTGAGTAATTTTTTTCAGTTTTTTTGTTTCACTTGTAGGGCTAGAGTGTATCTTGGTAAAGTATCTTAAACTGATTCAAATCAAAGTAATCGGCGCAACAGCCAGTTACTGTGATTTTCCAGTTCGACTGAATCGGGAAACTTGATTCAGATTTATGAAAGATCATGGACTATTTATACTCTTTATGTATCAGTCATGATTTAACACGAGGGGGAGAGGGGGGTCGGAGGATTATGACGGGTAACACATGGTTTTTAGAGGGAGGGAAAGGGGGATTGTCGTCGCCAACACAGTATGAAGGGGGGTATAGTAAATTGACTACCAGTTGACTGCCAATGAGGGAGGACGGTATCATAAGGGCAATTCAAGTAAATTTCATTGTGACACAAACAAAATTCTCCAACCACTCCCCTCTCCCCCCTTGGTAATTGAACTCCGTTTCGTGCAATTTTGGTCTGAAATCATACTTATGATTTCAAATCACGCTTATGCTCATATTTCAGACCAAATTGCCCTCCACTTAGCTCGATTACCATAAGAAATCGTAGTTTAACTTCATCACTATCCCAAAGTGACGCGGGGCACGGTGAAGAGAAAGAGAGTGATGAAGGGTGGAAAGGAATGCTGGGTTTGGTCAAATACGACTCCATAATTTCCTCTCTATAGAATGAAAATTGATTTTTAAGAAATTCTTTGGATTACTTGTTTATGTATTGACTGAGATAGTGCGGTCTACTGCTTTTTGGAACTTTTAGATTTTCACAAATTGGTACATTCTATAGTTACACGTAGGAGTACAGTCTCTCCAAAATTATTTGGATGTCGACTATGAGGAATGTATCTTTTTAATTGTCTTGAGATATCGCTTAAAAAGCTTACCACACTCCTGTGAACCAGCGTGAAAACTAGGACACTTAAAGCAAGTATCATCTTGGAGTGCCTAAAAACTTATAACACAGCAAAGTTTAGTTAAGTCACAGGGTACAAAAACAGTAAGAATGTAGAAATGCTTCCTAGAAATGGACGTGTAGGTTATGGGCCCCCTAAGCGTTCTGAAAACTGAGTTCCGCCTTCAGACCTAGGAAACCGTTTTAACGAAATTTCTATTTCCCTTCAGGGTTCATATCAGTCAACTTTTGCCCCATAATAGTGGTCCTTTGTGTTTCTCGGTTCCCTTTCTTGAATCCAGCATTCTAAAACTCTTAGCGTGAACAGGAAGGAGGGGACAAACAGAAATGGCTGATTGAAGAAGGAGAAATATGATAGTGTGCGTGCCTGAGATATAATAACTTGCTGCTTGTCTTCAACGGCAAAGTGTGTGCTTCACGTGATGTTAATAGTATTTTAGGTGAATCGGAACCAATCTGATGGCTCAAGAGTTCTTAGGAACTGGAACAAACGAAGCGTTTTTGTCGTGACAATAATAAAATTTATTTATTTCTCGCGTGGCCATAGACTAAATTACGTGAACATGAACTAGGAATTCTCGTGTTTTGCTGTACGTCTTAAAACTGTTACAGGATGTATAAAAAAAAACAACGAAAAAAGAAAACATCAACAGGCAAATTAAGAGAAATACACCGTCATAGTTAACATCACCTACCTAACGACAAAACAAATACGTTCGTTTGAGTCGATCTCCCAGTTTTTGTTTTGAGAATAAATCAGGAAACGTACGGGCAGTCAGATGAAGCTTGTTGTAACAAATTTACTAAGGAAATTTATTTTATTGTTATATTTCACTCTTAAAATTTCATAAGCTTTTGCGCCTCAGAAACAATCGTTGCCTGCCGTTATTGGTTGAAAAGACAATAAGATAATGTTTAAGTTTTATTTACGATCAGGTGCTGTACTGTGTGTCGTTGATTGTGTTCCTGGTTAACAATTGTGTTTAGACACAGGTCATAAGTCACCGTTTTAACTCTGATTAATTACATTTCAGAGATAAATTTTCATTGTCTTGTGTTGACATTTGTCACAAAGAAAACAACACAATTAAAACACATTTTAAACTATTAACCCTTCGTCCCTAAGAGTGACTAGCATCTAATTTCTCCCTACAATTTAACCCCCGAATCACACATAAAGGTCATGAGAATAAAAGAAATGATCAACAACTAAGGAAGCTAAAGCTTGTTAAACCGAAACTCTCCTTGTTACCACTTGTGTATTCTCCAGATTTTCAGAATAATATGGAGAATGAACATTCTGATGTTTAGGTGCATGGGGTAAATCTGATAGATATGCAATGAGCTACTTTTCTGATATGTTTTTTGAAGTGTAGCATTGTGAGGTGAAAGGGAACAGACGAGACGCTTACTTATTATTACAATTTCTACTTTAAATTTGTTTTATATTTGGGTGTCTCTTATCAATTGTAAAATGTTATTTAGATACCGAAATGTAACTTGATGAAGTTCAGGTTCCCCTTTTTCCTAGACATGTAATGGTAAAATAAAACTAGGTGTAGGATTTGATGGATTAGTAAGACTAGTTCATATGGAAGGCAGTCGAATTGATGGTAATCTCGTTACTCCTTTCTATCATTTTGAAGAAATCCATCTAGGAGAGGGCGGCTGTTCACAGGTTGCAATCTATCAAGAAGATATTCCATGTTTTCGCAGTTGTATTTTTGCGTACTCGTGTGACGTTTCTATTCTTAGTTTGCGAGCGATGTATTTGTCTTGAAAACATTAAACTTTGTCATCGGAGTTGTGAGAGCGGGGTGACGTGAGCTACTTTCGCAGAGGCTACAGCCCATAGCCTAAAATTTCATCTTTATCGTTCTTGGCTCTTTTTTTCTGCCTTTGGTAACAGTTCATGGGGTAACACGGAAAGAGGCAAAAAAAAGAGACACGCAAAAATGAGACCAAGTAGAAAATAAAGGGGAAAGGTGTTGAAATATAGATTCAGATGAGCGCGCAAGCAGGAGATTTTATGGCGTTGAAGTCATTTTTACGGTACATTTTGTACATCTCTATCTTAGTAGTGAGATTT